GGCGAGGAAGTCAAAGAGAAAGATATTCTAGTGATGTTGAGACTAAGACATTAGGTTTGCTGCTGGGAAAAGAAGGCTTTAATCCTGGAAACTCTCTGACTAGAAAACTAAAAGATTGAAACACACTGTATTGTAATGCAGTAATTGTTTTGGGGTGAGAGTTTTCTGCTTGTCTGAATCACCATATGGATGACTTCAATTCAACAGCAACATAGAGCGTGATATGATTCTCATAGCTGGGATAATGGAAAAAGTCAATGTTTACTTATTGGCAGAAGAAAATTTTACCTTGTCTGCCAACTGGGGCAATAAAATAAATTTGTTTTGTATGCTGTGTGGACTTTTTTACTGCTACTAAATGAAAGCAAAACAATCATAAACTCTCCTTGGGAGCTTGCAGACAGAATGGGTACAGATCCACCAAAAGTAACAGATTGAGAGAACTGAGAAAAAGAATTTGCCCTCAGCTCCTCTTCTCCCACTTCTCCTCCACAGTGTTCTTCAGCTTCCTGTTTTTAAAGCAAAATGGGATTGTTTTCATGACTAACCAGCACAATCCTTCCAAAGCTGTTAAATAACAGCATTTTTGGCAGAAGTTACAGCATTTCTAGATTATGTAAGCAAAATACAGATATTACAAGAGGTACAGTAGTTGCATTTTCATACACCATTTTAGCCCATAACTAACACTCTGTTCTGAATCTACAAATAGTGACTGGAAATCAGTTTAGCTACAGTGCAGCAGGATGTAAGTGTAGATTGCTGAAACAGACATGAACCTCAATTTCCAGCTGGTCAAAATGAAAATCACTTGCAAACCCAAGGAGGCTTTGGACTCCCATTGATCAACTTACATTTTGTACATCACTAGCACAACTTCAATAGAATTTCAAGGAAGTTGAAGTGAATCCCATTTTCTCTCACTGACACCATCTTGAACACTGCCCTTGCACTGTTTGCCTGGCTGCAGAGAGCCAGGATTGCCAGGTGCCACTGACAGAGAATGAGAGAGGCAGCCTGATATTGGCTGCCTGAGGAGTCCCTGGCTAGCCCAAGTGGCTGCCAGGCCACTCTGCACTACAAGCATATTTAAAATACTTGTAGCACAGGGGACAAGCTTGCGTCTTGGACTGTAAAAAACTACAAGTATCATTTGTAAAAAGAAAGAATCCTGGGAAATTTGTGTATCTTAGTCTTTGATGACTGTAAGAAATTTATCACTTCAACAGAAATGGCACTACATTATGAGGAATCTCATGCTCTAGGACAGCTTAGAGGAAAGGAATGCAGTCAGTGGTAAGCAAAAGGTGTTCATGAAATTAATGTAGCACTGAACCAAAATCACGATTTGTGTTTAGTATATTTACACGTTGGAACTCGATTCTCAGCCCCTCTCTGGCTCCTTGCATGGAAGAGCCAAGGGTACACCTGCACTTGAGTAGAGTGCTGTCACCTTTACATCTTCTCTGTTCAGTACAGAGGGTTTGTCAAAGGTGCAGGAGTGTGGAATGGGTGTGATATCGCACATCGTTCACACTTTTGCTTCTAGTGCAACTTGCAGCAGTTCTGAGGTTCTCCACACTAACTCCCCAAAGTGACTCAAAACCACAGCAGAAGAAAACTGGTTTTCTCCCCTCTCATCTGCAGCAACAACTGAGCTCTTGATGAATATAAGACTGTATTAACTAATAATTTAGTGGTAAGCAAAAGACATAAGTTCCACAGTGATGACATTGTAGACAACAATAAAAATAAACAAGGAGAAACATAGGAGACAACAGAACTGTGAGGCAAGCAGGGGTATAAAAGATATAACTGAGGTGGCTTCAATTATAATAGACAGGTACAAAGAAACACTAAAAAAGATATTTAAATAATACCCATTCTGACTGAAATAAGAGATGTTACTAAGGATTGATAATAGCGTAGGTAACATTTTAGAGGTATAATCTTAACAGAACTCAAGCAGATCATTTCTGATGCCCTTATTCCAATCTATTCAACTAGATACCTTCATGCTCCTTCTTTCTTTAGCCTAGTAAGGTGCAATGCATTTAATTCTTTGGTTACTAGTTTTGGCACTATCGGATATTCCTTTAACTGCCATGCTTGCTCCATAACTCATGGAGTGTAAAATAAAATCTTTCATTCACTAGCACATTTTCTCAGTCGATCTACAGTTGCAGTGAAAGTCACAAACCTACCCAAACACAGCCACAGAGTTCTTTTATACTAAGTACAGTCTTCAAAGGTGCTGCTTCTCTTAAAAAACTGCATGCAGTGAGAGTAGCTTTGGTTGAACACTTTAGATCCCTTAAGAACACAAGCCTGCTTTCCTTTTTTAGGTCAGAAACTGTCAGGAATTTGGCCTCAATAGCTTCCACAGGATCAAGGATTCCTGTAAATTTCAGTAAAGGATTAAGGCTATTGTTGCTGAGCACACACTGCCAGTAAGGGACCTTTCCTGCTCTCTAACCTCTAGTCTTTGACTCAGCCTCACACAGATCTCTTTAAATAGCAGCATAGGTTACCATGTAAATGTTTGTCTGTGGATGCAAACATGTCACATTCATTAAAACCAGAGGTTTTAATAGGTAGGCTTTTCTAGACTATTAGAAAATAGTAAATGATTTAACCAAATGCATTTCTTTTAATATTCCTGATTACATTTAGAATTTAGTATTCTTAGAATTTTCATCTTTTATGTTCTCTGATGCTTGTGATTTCTGGATGTTAAAAATCCAAAAGTGCAGCCAACAGTAACTTTAGGTCTAAGAAGCCCTTTCCTAGACAGCTTGCACATGTAGTCATGTTGAAACATTTAGTTTTCCATTTATGTGCAATGAGTACCTGGACACAAAGCCCCTCCTCCCCAGTCTAAATGAATATCATTCCAGCCTAAATTATGTGTGGATTACTGTGATTACTCTTTCAATTCTGGTTTATTCAAAAGTTAATACAGCAGACTTCTCAAATATTCCTGACAACAGCAGGCAGCATAAGTCTCCTTCCTGCACTCCATCTAAGGGAACAGCTCAGCTTTGGGACAGTTTGACCCCCTGCAGTTACATCTGGGTCACCCTCACTGTGGGAGGCCACCAAAGCAGCCAAACCTCTACAGCCACCCAAACATGGCCTGGCAACGCACAGCAGCACAAGTCACTGGCCTGGTTAAGCTGGAGCAGTAACTTCACCTGACTGTCAAGCCATCAAAATTTCCAGGCAAATGAGGACCAGAATATGCTCCTGGAAAGGGCAGCAACTCTTCATGCTTCCTGATGTATCCACCCTCTGGCCTTATCAGTGGGAACAGGCTCAACTGCAATCTGTCTTCACATTAATGAAGCATGGCAGAGTTGTGCTAGTTCATCTCCCCCAGTGCTGCCACCAGCCACTTGAATGATGAACCCCTAGGAAGCATGCCTGTCTACTTTCTGGACAGAAAGCTCCAGAGAATACACACACTGAGGCTCCCACCACTTCCAGACCTTTCATCCCTGGAGGGTGTATTTGGTTTGTGTAGCCAGGAGGCTACAGGGGTGGCTTCTGTGAGAAGCTGCCAGAAGCTTTCCCTGTGTCTGATGGAGCCAATGCAAGGCGGCTCCAAGATGGATCCATTGCTGGCTGAGACTGAGCCACTCTGATCCCAGTAGCATCACTGGGATACCTTTAAGAAGGCAAAAAAGTCTGCACAACGACAACTTCAGTGGAGAGAGGACTGAAAGTAAGTGAGAGCAACAACTCTGCAGACACCAAGGTCAGTGAAGAAGGAGTGGCAGGAGAAGCTCCAGGTGCCAGAGCGGAGGTTCCTGTGCAGCTCCTGGTGCAGACCATGGTGAGGCAGCTGTGCCCCTGCCGCCCAAGATGGTCCATGGGGGAGCAGAGATCCACCTGCAGACCCTGGAGGAACCCACAGCAGAGCAGGTGGGTGCCCGAAGGGGGCTGTGACCCACTGGGAAGCCCACACTGGAGCAGGCTCCTGGGAGGACCTGAACCCATGGAGAGAGGAGCCCATGCTGGAGTAGGTTTGCTGGAAGGACTTGTGACCCTGTGAGAAACCCACACTGGAGCAGGCTGTTCCTGAACACCTGCACCCTGAAAATCAGGAGTGGGAAACTAGAAATCTTCCTGGGAAGAAGGGGAGGAAGGATGGTGTTCGAAGATTCGGGTTTATTTGTCATCATCCTGCTCTAATTTGACAGTCGTAAATTACTTTCCCCACGTCGAGTCTGTTTTGCCGTGACGGCAACTCGTGACTGATCTGTCCCTGTCCTGATCTCGACCCAGGAGCCTTTCACTGTGTTCCCTCTCCCCTGCCCAGTTGAGGAGGGCAGTGACAGAGCGGCTTTGGAAGGCAGCTGGCGTCAGCCAGAGCCAGCCCCCAAAAGAGGCGAAGTTCTACACCGCAGGCCTGCGCCGACCGAGGCCGCCATGACACAGGTGGGGCGGGGCGGGGCGGGGCAGGGCTGCGCGCGTGACGCTTCACGCTCGCAGCCCCGCCCCCGCGCGTCACAGTGGCGCGTTCGGCTGCGCCGTCCCGCGCGTGACGTTGGCGCGTCCCGCTGTCCCGGCAGGGGCCAGAGGGAGCGGCAGGTGGCGGCGGAGCCGAGCGGAGCCCAACCCAGCCCAGCCCAGCCGAGCCGAGCCGAGCGGCGCGGGCCGGCCGGCGGCCCGGCGGGTGAGTCCCCGCGCTCGGTGGAGCGGGCGGGGGGAGGTGGCGGCTGCGGCCAGCAACGGCCGCTCCGACAGCGCCCCCTGCACTGCCGCCCGGGGCCGGGCCGGCGCTGCCTCTCTGCGCCCCCCCCTGCCGCCGGCGGGAAGCGGCCGAGCCGGAACGGGCGGCGCGGCCTTCCCGCGCGGGTGGGTGCCCCGAACAAAAGGCCAGCGGAGCTGCGCTGAGCGGGGTGAGGGACGACCGCTCGGTGGGCAGAGCCCTGCCCGGTATTGTTTTGGCGGTGGGGAGGCTGGGGGGTGTCACCCACCGCCGCCCCGCCCGCGGGGTCACGTGCCGGCTGTCGGAGCTGCGGCGGCGGAGCTTTTCTCAGGAGCCCTTCCCCATACACCTTCCCCGAACCCCCCCGGAGGGGCCGGGAGGGAGAGCCGGGACCGCAGGCAGAACCTTCCCGGTCCTTCCTGCCTAGCTGGGTCCCTCCCGCGGAGCCGTGTCCTTGTGGGAGGCGGCGCCCCGGCGCCGTTGCGGGGCGAGCTGCGCGCCCTGACTTGGGCTGGGCGCGATAGTCTCGGAGGTGTTTTCCAACCTGCTTGATTCTGTGACTTGGGGGTTTCGCTATGTTGGGCAGTAAAATAGGTCACGAGCATTAGTCGTGGCAGCGTCACGCGTGGCGGAATCCCCTGGCCGAGCCGGCGCGGCTCTTAATTCCCGGAGCGATGTGCAGCGCTTTAGTGTAGCTCCGTCCCTCCGGGTGCCACCGCTGTGTCCGGCCGGCTTCGAGCCCTGCCGGCGGCGGCTGAGCGGAGCCGCAGGGACACACGGACAGTCGCGGGAGCGCAGCGCGGAGCACCCAGAGACAAGTAACTGAGTGTTCTTAATGGAAGTGCTTTTGTTTTTTTGTGCTTGACGGTCACTGCTCAAGTGTTTGGATTTGCATCCCTTTCGGAATGTTAAAATGGAACGTGACAATGCGTCCCGCTTTTGGCGTTGATACGTGTTGCGGCTGCTGAAAAATCGTTGCAAAATATGAAGTAGATGGCAGTTTTTCGTAGGAACGAGTCAATCGGAATGGTGAAATAGTTAAAACCAACTAAAACTGAGGGGGGGTTAATTTTAGTACAACTTTTCTGTGTTATGACTGAGAAATACTGTAGGTTTTGTTACGGGTGTGTGGTATGCAAGTACGTATTAAAAGATTTCAAGGAGTAGGGAGAAGAGCTTTAAAACGTTTTAGTTTTGTCAGGTTTGTAGTACTAAAAATCCTGTCTTGCTTCCTTTGTTAACTGCTGCCTCTGGACAGTGGACTACTCAAAAATAGATTCTGAAGCATCTCTAAAAACACACTACTAAAAATTACACTTTGTAATGGTATTGAAGGCACAGTGAAATCTTAATCTTCATTTGGTCATCTTGAGTAAATCTTAAATATTGATTGTTTTTGCAAGAACTTTCTTTATGGTTTTGTGTAGTTAAAACTGTGGTTTCTTTACAAGTGTATCAGAGTGCCGGTTGTTTAAATTGCTATAATGCAAAATCTGTACTGAGTGAAAGAAAAAGTTCTGTTCTTGTTTCCTTGAAAATATATTGCATCAATTTAGATGTAATTGAATTGTCGTTTATTTAGAGAGCTGCAACTGCAGTATTTTTATAGCCTATTGAATAGTGGTCTCCTGGTAAAGTCTTTATGTTGAAATTGATTTTTTTTCCCCCCATCTTCTGTGCATGTTAATCAAGTCTATGTATAGGAAGAAATGTACTTACTTCAATTTCTGAAGCACTGATAATTTAGGATGAACCAGTCTCTGCTTCACTTTTTGCACACTGATTTTATTTGAGAAACAAACATTTTTCTTTGTTAAATAGATAAAAATATTAAATATGCTCAAAATTCAGTATTAGTGCTCTGATTGTAGCATAGGAGAACAACCTCATTATCAATACATATGTAGCATTTTAATACCGAAATGATTGACTCTTCTGCACTTGACTATTCCTTTGTGATTCAGTTCCAAATGTACAAATAAATGTTGGGGGGTTATTAATGTGTAATAAGGAATAAGGAATAAGGAATGACAGGCAACTTATCACAATCAACAATTCCTGAAAATACTCTGTTTAAGAAATGGATACAGAAAAGTAGGCAAGAACGGGAAACAAGTTATTTATCTGTTGTGCTGTCCAGTACCAGGGACAGTTTTAAAAGTACCTGATAAGACTCAGTACCTTCAGCTGATACTATATTGACAGTAGCAGACCTTCAGACAGGAGAGTAATTTTTCCTGCTAAATAAACCAGCCACCTTCTTTCTTCCCCCACTGTTTGGCTCCCGGTGACCTGGGGGGAAGGGCAGAATTCTAGGGATCTTTTTCCCCCTCCTACCCTCCCGTAATTGAGTTACAAATTAGGGAGCTTGATGGAAAAAAAATCCAAGTATTTTATTACAGAAGAGAATTTACTCTTACAAAGTAATACTGTAGTTGCTGAGTTTTCAAGTGAGGAAATGGTGAATTTGTGATAGATGTTTTAGAGTAATCTGTATGGAGTTGCTGAATTTGAGTGATTAGCTGTCATTCGAAGTAGGACTCAAGTAATAGTTTTTGTTTGGTTTGGTTAAAAGCTGATGTTAGCTGAATTTACCAATGGTTTGTGCTTGTTTGTTTTTAAAACGCTAAGATTTTACTTACAGAGGAGGTTTAAGACTGTAGGTAACTCACCATCAACATTTAGGAGCCAGCTTGTTAAATATGTATGTTTCTGGTTTTGTTGTTCTTTTTTTAAATTTTTGCTGTTTTAAATAGAAAAGTTGAAAAATTGTGCTGGGCCTGATAACTTACTGGGCATGTTAATTTGATAGGCGCAGTTGACTGAACCGATGAGAAATAGTTTCATTCCATCTTGGCCTAGTAAAAGCTTGACATTGTTCTTAAGGAGAACCTGAAGTCATTTTGGGAGATAGGTGTGGTGGGAAGTCCAGCACTTCAAGATCTTAAAATTGCATTCAAGGGGACAAAGAGAGCAATTACATGCTGGCTGAGCTTCAGTTTGGGAAGGGATGTTGCCCAATTTGAATTCTTTCTCCTGATCATGTTCCTTCATCTGTTGCATCTTTAAAGTTTCAAAGTAGGTGATATTCCAGAACGGGTGATAGGCTGCAGGGCTTTAGGAAGGGATACTTGCAGGTTGCTGCAGAGATTGTTAACAGGAAAAAAGAGAAAATTAGGCACTAAGTATAGAGCACAGCTCTTACCCACTTGACTTCAAAGGAGGAGTCATCATGCAGGAAGGGGCACATGTGTGTAACCACAGGTGTTTGTCAGTCTGTTTAGTAGAATTTTCAAGACTGGCTTATTAAATAAATAACCATGTCATGAAACATAGGTTACGTGATGCCAGTGTGTGAACTAGTTCTTTTCAAGAGCTGTGCAGCAATTGGAAAGTTGCTCTACCACAATCCTGTAATTCTACTTTAATTGGATTCTTCTAGGGATAATTACGTACCTTGCATGCATTTTTATTTCCTGAGAAATCTCCCAGAACTGACCCAACCTTTTTCTGCCATCTCCACATAACATTTGGTTTTATGTTGTGCTACCTCTTCTAGTGGATTGTGAGAGGTAGCAGATAAAAGGCTTCAGGTGATACCTACCGAAGTAACAGAAAGCCAGCTTCCAAGATGAAGGACTGAACACCACACCCACAGCATCAAGCTTGTTGCAACTGTGTCTTTGATCGTAGAAAACATAGTATCTTGTCTGAGTGGATTAGTAGAGCCATCATTTTAATGCGATTGCAGCTCTTGATTTCAGATTGACGTGTGAAGAAAGGAAAGCTGCTAGAAGATGAGGGGAGAAAAGGTGTGGATAGGCTTGTTAATTTTTGCATTTTTCCTTAGGAGCTCTTTCTAAAAATATCTGGACAGAACATTACATGGAGCTCAGCTATAAAGTAAATAACGTATTTACTTTAGAAGTAACATATTTGAGTAATGTTTCTTACACTGAAGGCATCTGACCGCTTCACTCTTATGTTGTTAGTGATAAATGTTCAATCATTTGCTGAAGGACTACAGCATAGAAAACTATAATGCTCCATGTTCTTTCAGGGACTTACCACTTCTTGACTTTACTCAACTCTTACATATCTGATCTGCACTGTATTTATGCTGAAATGATTCTTTACTTGAAAAAATTGAAATCGAAGATATGACATTCTTAGGTCTGCTTCAAATCATTCCTGTATGTAATGTTTTGCAGCAACTGGAAATTGTAGTTCAAAATTTAAGAATCATCCAGAAAGCTACAGTCCAGAAGGAGGATGCAACTCTGTGACTCATCAGGCTTTTTACAGAGGATTCCCTGAAAATGGGTCTTTTAGATTGAGACGTTCCCGTTTAGGGTGTGAGAATGCAAGATTGAAATCTTGATGGTCTCCCTTCCCTACTGGTTTCCAGTGATTATTATATATTTGTGAAACGACTTGGCTCTAGTTGGTGATGTACGCCAAATGTATGTGACTGACTTTATCTGCTCCCCTGAAGAGGGGTATATCACCTCAGAGGTGTGGTGACTGAGTTGCATCCTTGTCCTCTTTTTCAGAGATCCCATGCCTTTCCATTGATGAACCTCAGAGCCCTTCAGCACGTTTTAAAGAAATAAAGGAAGGTTCTAATTAATTTTTGTTGTTGTTTGTTTAAGTATCAAATCTAGGTCATAGAGTTTGTTCATAGGCTGGTCTGAGGACATACATATGTAAATTTATAAAGAAAAAAGTGCTGAACGGTTCTGATGTTCATTCATTAAATGAATGTGTGTGATCTCTGTAAAAGAGGACAAGGATGCAAGGCTCTGAGCCTTGAAATATGGAGACGACCCAGGGGAAATCAGCTGTTCGCATGCGCTGTTTTTTCCTTAAGCATCTGATAGTAGTCCCTGTTAAGAGACAACACACAAGTCTAGGCGGTCCTTTAGAATGATATGATATCGATAGTTTTATAAACAGCTTTAGGAAACCATTATGACTTTTTAAATTGCCTGAATATAAGGGGTCATTTATCAGAGGTTAAATTTGCATAAACATAACATACTCCTAACTTTGGTCTTGTTTCTCCTTTTGTGTACATGGTCACTGCATGGAAATAAGCAATTAACTTACTATAATAAAAAATAATTTCCTTTTATAATACTTTAAAAAAAGATAATTTGCTTAACCCAGACATCAGAACAAAAACTGTGGGCCAAAATTGATTATTTCAAAAAATAAAATAGAATTCTGATGATATTCTTATTGAAAATAGCCTGCATCAAGTAAATAAAGGCATAGTAATTTCTTTTCTGTAACAGAACCATGGCATTGTATTTTGCTTGCTTATACCTCTGGACAACATTGTAATGGTGGTATTATTTGCTTTCCATTAGTTTGCAGAGAAGCTGAAACACTGTAGTGTACCACTGGGCAGGACAAGTCAGGAATGAACCAGCCTTGGGAAGGAGGACCTGCCATCCTAGCTGGAGACGTCTGAAGAGAGGACATTTTAGTCTTGTGGCATGCTTCAGTAGAAATTGTTCAGAAAAAGTAAGCTGTTGTTTTGTTGATGGACTTATACATGTCAGCTCCTTGATGGACTGTTTAGTTGCAGTTAGAATTTGCCTGGAATGAAATGAAAACATACTCAGTTTTGAGGTGGTTTTGTGTGAACTTACCTTTCCTTCCATTAGAGTCCAAGAAGGCCTGGGGTATTTTCATGTAGTTGTTATACATCACCTCTTCCATACTTTCTGTGTCGATGAAGGCCCCATAGCTTCGAAATTAAATGTATGTTTTAGTACTAAAAATAAAAACTCACAAAAGAATAATAAAGAGGTGGGTTGGATCTGGCAAGATTGTGGACTAATTCCTCCTCAGTTGCTTTTTAGGCTGTATTATGTTAAAATGCAGAGCTCAGGTGCTTATTGTTCCCTTATTTATACCTGAATTGAGGATCCTTCAAATACAATTATTTTTAGAATTTTTCCTTGTGTTTAATTAATTTTTAGCCTCACTGATCAATAATGTGATTTTCTGTGTTGCCAGGAATGTCTTAAGGGAACCCAGTCCTCCAAAAAACAAAGCTTTCCTGTTTGATAAGAGTTCTGATATGAAGCCTATTTTGATTGAACCTTGTTATAAAATACTGCTCTTAATTTCAGGAAAAATATTGTTTAGTCAGTTTTGTTTTAATACCCTATAGTTGCAATGAAAGTGCTTCCACAGGCATAATGTAGCAGAATAGCAGTCCTAGATGGTTTTTTCCTTTGTTCTGAAGGATTACTTCTTCAGTAAAAATCTATGTACATGTACATTCTCATACTAGCTTATAAACAAACTCTGTGACCTAGATTAAATACTTAAAAAGGTAAACAAAAAAGGATTAATTAGGATCTTCCTTTAAAAACAAGAAGTGAGACAGCATCAGTTTAGTTGATAGGAATCTTCAAGTGCGTAATTGTCCTGCATTCTGAGCACATGCAACTGCAGTTGTGCTTATCTTTTAAGAGTTTTATGTTCCTGGGTAGCATTTTTTTAGAGATAAGGGTTTGCTCCTCCAGCTCTATTCATTTTATATTAACATTTTCCTTAGAGTCATTAAAAATAATGTAGGAATTTCAAGATAAGGCATTTATTCATTTTCATATCCTGCATTACTGTCTTGATCTAGTAAGGAATCACAGATCCCTAAAATTAATGGGTGACTGATTGAGCACAGTTCAAGAGTTATAATTTTTTGCTTTCAGTGAAAAGGTGAAAACTTTTAACTCTTCTTTTAGATTACCTTTAGTTTAGCTCACACCATCAGAATTTTGTTTGTCAAAGTGCATGGCCTTTTTAACCCCTGCATTGCATTTAAATCACCTCCAAAATCTTAATTATGATATGTGACTTTTATAGAAGTTACTTACCTACAGGTTGTTCTAATCTTTTCTTTGTGTCTGAAACGGATAACCTTATAAAGGATATTCAGAGAGAAGCAGCCTTTTGTAAAACTGTAGCACGGAACTAAAAATCTCTGCTGCTGTGCCTTTTCGCACAGTAGTATCTCATTATGGGGGCACTTGAAAATACAGATCCTTTACCTTAGCCATGGTTAGTGCAAATTAATCAATAGATGGATTTCTGTCAGCTCTTCTGTTGTGAAATACTGGTTGGGTTGTGTTCATGGGTATTCTGAAATCTCAGTAGATTTTCTTCTCCCCCTTTTCTAGTAAGTTTCTCATTATAAACCCCTAGTTTTGCTGTAAAAAAATCTGTTTATTATAAAAATATAACCTCAAAAGTGTGAGGCTTCCAAAAAGCAACTTGTTCACAACATTGTTAGCATGGATCTCACATAGAGATGTGTACTGTGGAGTGAAAACATAGTTACCAGCTGGTAGGTAATGCTGTGTCTGCATCTGGCTTGCTGATTTAAGAACTACTATGCAGATCTGTCATTAATCTCAGAGAAAGAAATTCAGATACAAAACTGAAACATAGGTGGATACAATTATGTGCTACTTCTGGAAAAAGTATTTGAGCCGTAGAGCTTTTGAAAGAATTATTTGATAAAAAAGGATTAAAGAGGCATTGATCTTTCAAGAGGGAATTGTAGTGATAGAAGGGAACAGACAGCATACAGAAATATATTTTTAAGTAAACGGCATATAATACATTATTGTAAAGATAAATACAGATACTGAAGCTTTTTTTTTTAATCTTAGCATGTATTTATAAGATTTTTAAAGCAGTGGAGGCTTTTACAGCTAGGCACTTTCTCTTGAGGTAACACATTCTGCTAGAAATGTGTGTAACATTAGAACAGACTGTCCAGGGAGGCCATGGTATCTCCATCCTTGCCCTTTTCAAAAAAACTCAGCTAGACAAAGCCACGGCTGATCTAATATAGTACTAGTGTTGGTGCCGTGTGGGGCAGGAGACTGGACTACATGACCTCTAAAGGTCCCTTTTGACCCACATGCCTGTGGTAGTTTTGCATTAACTATTCCTAGCTGCCTGTACAACAAAGACTACTTTCACTGAAAGGCTGTTTTGTTGAATATCAGTCTCAAAGTTCCTTAGGAATTTAAATGAAAAAAGGCACCGTTTTAGGCCCTGTTCCGCAAAGCCCATTCTTCTCCCTCGTTTGATATCTGGTGTTTGGTTTTCACTGTTAATAAGTAAAAGGAAAATTACCATGAAACAGACTGTGAAAGATTGCCATGGCAAAAATGTAGTTGAGAAGGCATTTGCATATTTAGGCTAGAATTTTTCAACTACTTAAATCCTACACAATGCCAAAGTGACACAGTTTTGCATTACCCGTTCTCTTACAGTAACAAAATCATATTTAATGACAGAAATAAGATATGGCCAGAGAAAGTAAAGGCAATGACTTCCCAAGCCAGTCAAGTCACAGCTGTGTGTCTGCTGGAATATACTGCTGCTTCTGCTGGTCTGCAGTGATGCCTTTCAAGAGGCACTCAGATATATCAGGGAGTTCTCTTGATGTTTAGGAAGAAGGAATCCAAGGTATTTTTGAAAAGACCGCCTCAGTTTTCCAGTCTGGTTCTTTCTGCAGCCCTGTGGTGGTTCTGAGCCCAGTTTGAGGGATAGCGTACCATGGTGGATGGGAACTAAGAAACATAGTGGGGGAATACTTCAGCTGGGTGCTGCTGCCAGGCATATTTTCTACTGTATATACCTAGTCTGAGGTACTGTTCAGGCAATCCTTTAATCAAATTAGTGATCACCAGTAGTCTAAAGAGAGATTGTTTTAAGTTCAATGTTTGCAGCTAGGTCACCTCTTGAGGAAAGAATCAGTTTCTTTAAATTTCCTGAGGAGGCACCAAAATAACTGGTTGGCTGAAGGTTTATTAGTCAACACTGCTTCAGCAAATGAATAGAGGAAATTCCAAAATTTGTTTTCTAACTTGGTATGTTAACATGGTGAAAATTAAACAGATACAAGACTGGTGATCAGCAAAAGAAATTCTCCCAGTACTTGATTTAGTTTGTCACTTCAGAAAACTGAATGTAAACCTATCAATATTTTTTGAGTTGAGCTTCATAAATGGTAACTTACCTTAAATTAAGGTAGGTGTCTCGTTCTGTGGATATTGAGGTAAAATGTGATGCAAGGTGCCAGTTTAAGTTGACACAATAAACTGATTTAAATCTCTTTGATCCTCTGCAGGATGGCTGGCTGTGGTGAAATAGATCATTCGATCAACATGCTTCCCACAAACAGGAAGACAAATGAGTCGTGTACTAATGCAGCACCTTCCCTGCCAGTCCCTGAATGTGCTATCTGTCTGCAAACATGTGTCCATCCTGTAAGTCTGCCTTGTAAACATGTTTTCTGCTATCTGTGTGTGAAGGGAGCTTCTTGGCTTGGGAAACGATGTGCACTCTGCCGGCAGGAGATTCCTGAGGATTTTCTTGACAAGCCAACCTTACTGTCACCTGAAGAACTCAAAGCAGCGAGCAGAGGCAATGGAGAATATGCTTGGTACTATGAAGGTAGAAATGGTTGGTGGCAGTATGATGAACGTACCAGCAGAGAGCTGGAAGATGCCTTTGCCAAGGGTAAAAAGAGCACTGAAATGCTCATTGCTGGTTTTTTATATGTAGCAGATCTTGAAAATATGGTACAGTATAGGAGAAATGAGCATGGACGTCGCAGAAAAATAAAACGGGACATAATAGATATACCAAAGAAGGGAGTGGCTGGGCTGAGGCTGGACTGTGACACTAACACTGTCAACCTGGCAAGAGAGAGCTCTGCTGATGGTGCAGACAGCACACTGACTCCGGGGGCTGCGGCTGTGCAGCCTCTAGCACCCATTTCTGTGAGGCCGCTGCCATCACTGGATGGTCAGCTGTTCAGTCCTTCAACGCCATCACCTGATACAAGCAATTCTCTAGAGAACTCTTTTGCTCACTTGCAAATAAATGGAGACAGTATGGCTGAAAGGAATCATAGGGGAGAGGGAGAAGAAGACCATGAATCATCATCTTCTGGTAGGGTGCCAGTCCCTGACACCTCTGTTGAGGAGACCGAATCGGATGCCAGCAGCGATAGCGAAGATGTGTCTGCCCACATTCAGGAACGCCCATCCTCTGTCCAGCAGAGACATTTGAACGCCAGTGCAAGCCAGTCAGGAGCAGATAGACCAGTGGCAGGGGGTGGGGTGGTAAACACAAGTGTGAGATCTAGAAGGCCAGATGGACAGTGCACAGTCACTGAAGTTTAAATCTAGAGCCATGCGAAAAAAAACTCGCTTGTAATTTTCTGTAAATTTTCTGTCCACATTGGCATCGCACTCAAACCTAGCAGTGTGTTTGGTGGGAGGGTGGGGTGAAGGGGAGAAACAGATTTGGCCTGTTTTAACTTAAGTCTCTTAACATGTCTCAGCTGGAAGATTCTTAACTGTAGGAAACTGGGTTGTCCTGTTAATGGTTTGAAAGCTACTTAGCAATGCCCAGTTTTCTTGAGAATGTCTTGTGTTTATTTTGTAGCATTTTCCCCTGGAGATACTCTATCCCTCTTTAGCCAATGTATATCTACTGTACAACTTGAATTGTCTTCATTACCTGACTGTTGCATTAAGTGTCTTACTACTTTCTGCATGGATTGATGTATGAAAAGAACACTAAAGCAATGTGGAATCAGGCAAGGTGTTGGGTGTGAAGCAGGATGCTTAATTTAATGTGAGAAAATAGATGTGAGTTTGGAGTTAAAATGTGTTTTTGCTAGACAAGAGCAATCATTTACCTTCTTTCAATGGAAATGTAAAAATGCTGTTAACTTGTGTTGCAAATCCTACACGCTCTCCATGGCTTTTTCACTGGCTTTGCCATCTAGTCCTTGTAGTTTTGTTTTTGAGGTCTTTCTTGATCTGTCTTGTTTTTGTTACAGAATTTATAATTTAATAAAACTACATTTTATCAGTAACAATCTCTGATATGTTTCCAGTTTAACTGAACTTCACTGGAGGAATTTGAAAGAAAATTATCATAAAACAACTTCCTGTTTTTGCCAGAAGAGAGGACTGGCTCTGAGTGGCATCCTGAAGTTCTTGCATCCCTGACTGGCTTTTTCTCAAACACAATGCTGTAGGAGTATCATCTTTTCTACTGAAAAATCATGAGTTGCAGGCTTATTGCTCACACAGACAACACTCATTTCTCATCTGAAGAGCTGATTAACTCACTTCATTGTTCATGGTGGGCAGAAGTATCACACACAACCTTAACAGCAGAAATATTGAAATGAAAGAGCATAAGTTATCAAAGTTGACCCTGTAACAAAGGACATGGATATTAAGGACTGTATTGCTGTTTATCTGTTCATAGCAAAACTAGTGGCAGCACAGAAGGGGTAGTTTGTGCATGTACTAGCAATCTAGGAGCTGCATTTCTACAAATGGACTGCTGTGTATCACAGAATGTTAGAAGCCAGATCTTGAAAAGCACAGCTTGTCTTTTCTGTCTGTGGCAGTTGTTTTACATTTTTTCCAAATTGAGAAACAGCATTAGTTGATTCTGGATTCAACCTTTATAATCAAGCTAATTAAACTCCAATTCTTAGTGTATGTGTCCCTGAACAGAAAGGGACAGTAGCTGATAGGTAGCTACTACAGATCTTAAAACAAAAGTTGCTTTAGACAAACAGCCATTTGAGTGGAATTAAAAGGGATGATTTTTAAAGATGCTAGACTTAAACTTCTAAAATGTTCTCCTTCCCGTAATGATGGCTGACGTGTCTAATCTTGGACAAAGTTGTGCCAGCCCTCTAGTTTGTTTCCTCTGCCTACAGGTGAGATCAGTGGGCCAGGAAAGTGCAGAGGAGACGAGGATGAAATAAGGAAGATTTCCTTCTTTCTCAGCTAGGAATAGATGCTCTTGATCACAGATTTTTACCACCATCTTCCAGTTCCATAAGAAAATAAGCCAGTAACATGGACTTCAGAAGGAAACAGGATGGAGTCTTTTTTTCTCTGTTAGTTGCTAGCTGTTTTATTTCTCTGTTTTGAGTTAGCACACAGTGGCTCTAATCAAAATCTGACTTTGTGCCGCAAAGGCCTTCAGTAAGAACACTTCTGCTATGTGCACACATTTTACTTTATGTGAGGGATATGTGTTGAAGAAAGCAAGGAGCTAAATACAAGAACTTGACTCACTATATACTTAATTTCAGGATTTTCAGCCCAAACAGTCTACAAATAAATTTCATCAGTGATTATCCTTGGGTTTTTTGACCAAAGCAAAGAGGCAGACCTCTGTTTAGCCCCCCACCCATGATGCTGCTTTTGGCTCCTGCTGGCTGACTGCAGCTGTGAAGTACTAAAATAAAGTATGGCTAGTGAGAGATTAATAGCCAATCATCAGAGTGGTAAATGCACTCCCCAGATCAAGCTAGGAAAAAGTAGTAACTGGTAATTCCCATCGTATATTTAAACCATTACCTTCAGTAGGAGACATGTTCTCTGTCTATTTTTGCAAAGCCACAGCCACATTGCATTTTGTGGTTTTCTGTAATCCTATGCATTAAGTGATTTTCAACTTGTACAGCACAGCCAGAAAAATGCACAGTGGAGCAGAAGGAAAAAGGAAATTTAAATACTATGTAATCTACAGCAAGTTTTCATTTCCAGGAGAACAGATAACTACAGATACAGGAATCCTATGTCATGGTTAAAAAAAAGATCATATTGAACCAAGCATTCTGCAAGAACACCTTGCTTATCTAGATTGACCACTTGCTTAGTATACTTCTATCAGCAGCAAATAAGATAGAAGTATTTATATTGCTAAAGGTGATCTCCAGTACCCAACCCTTAAATGCTTGGTGCAGAATCCACACCCCCATTAAGCCCTCAGCGTGATCCACTACACAGAGGAAAGAACAAGATGGGCATTTCACAATGTAATAGGAAACTTAGTTTGCTGAGGAGGGAGCTGGCAAACTAGTCCCTAGGAAGTACAAAAGCTAGCATGCTATTTAATTAGGAGACTGGGACTATCAATTTTGATGTTTCTAATTTATTTTGTGCATTTAGAGCTTGTTTGGTTTTAAGCACTTGCAGAAGGGGAAAAAATCTGAGAGGAAGCTCATAGTCTTTTAATAAAGAAAATGCAAATGCTTATCAGCTGCTGGTTACAGGTATTTGTCACTTTAAGATGATAAGCAAGTATGAAATAAAGCATTTAGCTTTCAAAGGGGGAAAACAGGATTCCATTTCATCTCCATCTGGAGCTCTCATCCTAGCACTCATGGTAGTTTACTTGGCTGGTTTTCACGTGAAGGGCTCTAAAATACCTTTTCAAATAGAAAATAGACCAGAGAATATGGTATTAGAGTACTCACAAAATCCTTGATCAAGACCTGTAATGATCTTCAGAATGTCCCGTACCTATGTTTGGTATATTTATGATATCAACAAAATGAGTTTCCATGAGTTTCCCTTTCTGTCTGAGTGTGACTTGCTCTGTGCTAGTTAAATATTTGCCCTGTTTTCTTAGAAGCAAATGTTGACCTTTGATATAAGTCAGAGAGGGTGGCTGGGGAAATGCATTTGCTGAAATGAGAAATAAGCTCATTGTCTACAAATCAAAGTGGAAAGAGATCCCCGGTAGGTGTACATACTGAGTTTCACTTACTGGCAGCACAGATCTAGTTCAAAGTGTGAAGGAAACCAAATTCTGCTTTTTTGCTACAATTTCCTCCTTTTCAAATTTGTATCACCCAGTACACAATACATTCATGAGCCTAATGCACTAAAGAAAAAAAAATTCAAGAGTCTTGCTCAGGTTCTAAGCAATTTTCACACCCATTTAAAAAATGTCATTAGGGTATTAGTATTTGCAAATCTGTTCTTGCTACTAGCAAAGTCATAACCAGTTGCCCTTTAAAGCACATTTATTTTGACTCACATCAACGTGATGTGCTATTGCTACAAAAAGCTGGATGAGTATGGACTGGAGCATGCTTTGAAGGTTCAGTGATGCTGGCAGTCTGGAGTCTCTCATGAGTCTTGAGGAACTCCATGAAAAGCAGAACAGTTTCATTACTAAACAGTCAAGTGCAGCCGGACTATATTAAAACATTCATACCTGTGAAGTAACGGGTTAGAAGTCCTTTAAGGCACAGGAAAGAATCCAGCTACACAGGGGACTAACAACTGAGCTACTGAATAAAAAGGGGCAGGGGGAGAAAGAGGCACAAACCAGAACACTGTCTCCCCATGTTCTCATTCCTGTCTCTTCTCTAACCTGAAAGTAAAAATTGAACTTTGTTTTTGGGGAAGAGACATTTGAAATCATTCTCCATCAGTGCTTGAGATATTAAGGCAAAGATGCAGGATCTACAGGGTGGAGCAAGTTCCTTATTTTCCCTGAGGTGCCAACTCAAAACACATCCCTTTCTTCAGCATTTCTCTTCATTGCTTCAGGCTCCTTGCTGTGAAAACCATATAGTGAAACATCCCTAGCAGATCACAGCATCTGCTCAAAACCTGCAGAATCTTAACAGGCAATCCAAGCCAAATTCCCATCATTGATTTGTCCCCAAATCCTCAAACACGTAGTTACCTCACTGTCTAAAACTCAGGAATCGTGCCACACTGTGGAAATTGTAACATGGATTTCCATCCACGAAATTGCCTTTCCTAGGGGAGCTTGTTCCATCATCTGGAGCTAGTTACACCTGGTCAGGCCAAACACAGAGCCCAAACTTTCCTCGTTAACATGCTCCCACGGAGTGCTTGGGTTCTGGGCTCAGATCTCAGTCTCTGCTGGATTTAGAGACAAGAGTATCCTAACTGACAGTACATGAAACTCACTCATAGATATGTCTGTATGGTTTTGCTCTCATAGATGTTTAATTTTAAGAATCATCTGCCAAAGCAGGGACTCTGTCAGTTTCTATTTTTAAAGATAAAACCTTCCCCAATGAGTTATCTAATTACTTGAATAGTCACCGGCATGAAGTGGAAACCCAGTTCCAAATCTTCTGATCAGCCCAAATATGCCCTACCAGAAAAAATGGTCTAAAGAAAGATATAGACATATCCACACACAAGTCTTACCAGGATGCTGAAGTACTCTGACACCCAGTCAGTTAAGGACATCCCATTTGGGAGTATGATTCATCATGTCCTTCCAAGATTTCAACTAGATTCTATGTAAAGAACCAGGTCAGCAGCTTTGCACAGGTCCAGGATATGGGCATGTGCAGATGCATGTGTAGGTAGTTGATTCCTTGAGCAGTGAGAATACTCCTAAATGCATTTAAAAACCTGAATCAGTGTCAGTGAATGAGGGCTAGAAGGTCTCAGTAAGTTAAAGCTTCTTCTGTAAAAACACCATTAAAATTGAAGTATCCTTGGATAGCGAAGAACTGAGTAGAGATGAAAAAATAAAAACTATCCTCTCACTGGTTATTATCCTTTCCAAGCTGCTTAAAGACACTGGTCTCATGTTGGGGAACTCATATTTTGCAACTTTAGATGCACCTGTTCCGCAAATAAATAAACATTATAACTTTCAAGTAATTACTTTCCATAGCAGTTAGAAAAAATTAGCTCCAAAGAAAATAATCTTCAGCTTCATTCCAAAAGAATTATAGTTCTATTCTCAGCATAATATTTACCTTTACATACTAATTTCACTAATCTCCATTCAGTGGGTGATTAGGACAGTAAAGAATCTGCCAGGGATTTCTCTGTGGTTGCACACCAAATATGACTGAAGTGAATGGCAGGAATGTTAATACCAGTTTTAAATGGGCAAGTCCTTAAATGATGCAAGTTCAATGCCTGCTTTAGTGAAAGCTTTGTTTGCAAAAAGGTCAAGAACATTTCTTATACACTGACCATCATTTATGTTTTGGTCTTCTAACCAATGCCTCTAAATTGGCAGGCCCACCCCATACAGTTCCGAAAATGTCCTTTTCTGTCCTTAGGGCATCTTCCAGTGGGAGCTCTCTTCCTGCTGTCACCACCTTTTTCATAGCCCGTATCACGCTGACTGGACCCTCTGTGTACTGACTCAGCCAGGCTCGGGCTTCTTCTAAGGCCCTGGTTTCATCTGAAGATGACAGGGTCTGCTCTGAGAATCCCAGGCGCAAAGCTTTCTCGGGGTCCACCCGGGCAGTCCCGCTCAGCAGCTGCAGGGCTGCCCCACTGCCCACGATCTGCACCAGCCGGGCAGCTCCTCCCCAGCCTGGCACCAGACCCATGTGCTTGTGGACAAACCGAATTTCACTTCCAGGTGTCATCAACCTGCCAATGAAGAACAAATACACAGAGGTCAATCCATGCATTGACATTCGTTTGCAGCTCGACAGCACTTAACTTTCTATTTTCTCCTCTCCTCTGCTTCCAAAGGCTGATACAACTTGATAGCCTGCAGATTACAGCCAGAGCTGGAGTATCTTCATTTTTACATCACATAGTGCCTTAACTGCAGCATTTGGCCCTTCTCAGAATTAGATACATAGGCTAGTACAAGTAAAGGTGCTTAGTGCCCACACTGATACCTGTAGTCAGTTCTAAAAAGTGTTGAAAACAGAACTGCAGACATTTATACACAGTGCCAAAACTCCTTGCTAATTCATGCCTAAAACAACAGGGTAAAAACTAATCAAACTAATGTACAAAACATTTCTCAAGAGGATGAATTTTGATCTTAATACTGATGTGCACTGGGGAGGGGTCTGTCTGCAACCTGGTGCTTGATTACAGCACAGGTGGGACTTTTTTGTTCCATATTTTTGAGGATCAATGTGAGTTTGATTTCTAACTGCTCACTACACCAAGGGAAATCGGGATGGATGCTCATCTTATGGGTCACAATTTATAATAGAATTGCTTTCTATTTATGCTTGCAATGTGTAATTAAATTGCTCCCCTCTACAAAGTAAGTCACATTCTTCCTTTCAAAGATTTCACATCTTTGCTTCTTTTCTACAGCTTCTCACCTCCTTTACTTAAGAACTCACCCTAGGGCTGATTAAGCTATAACCCTGAGGAGCTCTGCTGCAGCAGATTGTTCTGTCTTCACATAGTGGTCACACTGACACATGTTAGATTAGTGGAAAAAACCTCTAGAAATAGAAACATACAGAAAAGATGTACAGAAACAGACTAGTACTTGCTCTCTCTCGAGGTGATGTTCTGCAGTGTGATTGCTTGCTGATGTTCGTAAGACAAAGGACAGAAATCACACTTGTGAAGTCGATTAGCTTCTACTTCAAGCACTAATTGGCTTTCTGAAGACAAATCTTGTAATACTGAGATCTACACACAAGTCTGTTTCCTGACAATGCAGTTTTCCATAGTGAAAATACCAACAGGAATAGCTTTGAAAGGGTAAAGAAAAGGAAAACCTTTAAAAATGCAACTACTTCTAGGAACTCGCTGTTCTCAAATCTGCTTAGTTATTGTTAATTGTAAGTTTGCTTGGTTGCTTTTTTCTTAACCAGAGCACCATCAGCATTCATGCCACACTGTACAGCATCAGAACTGAAGAGCTTACGCTTTATCCCAGATGCAGCACAATGCACAAAGGCAACAGCTGACCAGCCAGATTGCATGAAAGCCTTTTTGTAGAGACAGCAGAGGAAGGTTGTGTGACAAAAGGAAGAGAGTAGAGTATTGCGGGGGGGAAGGGGGGGGTTGGGGGGGAAGGCTTTTAGCTAACATTATCAAGTGCTTCCCAGCTAACCCAGCAAATCCCAGAGAGCTCGGGTCTCTCCTCTCCAAAAAGAAAATTCTGCAAGTATTCCAAAACTCCTTTACTGGCTCAGCTTACTCTTTAATTTGCTGACACCCAGTGTCCCACTGGGAAAACAATAGTGAAAACATTATTAAGAGTTTAATTCTAGCTGTGCCGAGTGATGCAAGGCATTAAAAAAGAAGTGGTCATAAGCAGCTGGGCATCTGATGCTAGACAACCTGTAGGCAGTCTCATGGGACAGCCACTGCAGGTCAGTGAGGCAATGTTGCGCTTGTATGTTGAATCTGAGACTGTCCCAGACACTTGGGTTCAGGCCTTAAGGACAGGCAATTCTGTGAACATCCTGAGGGCAGTGTAAGGACTCATCTGGGGAGTCAGGTCAACGTCCTCTGAAGTTGGCATGGAAAATCAAATTTTACATTAGAAGCACAGCCAATCCATCAGCACTCAGCTTAAGAAAAGAGTTGAAATTTGCTGACACCCAGTATGTGGGGAAGGTCTGTTGCCCTGCATTAGAGTTCCCTAATAAGAAAATGCCGAGTGATGCAAGGCATTAAAAAAGAAGTGGTCATAAGCAGCTGGGCATCTGATGCTAGACAACCTGTAGGCAGTCTCATGGGACAGCCACTGCAGGTCAGTGAGGCAATGTTGCGCTTGTATGTTGAATCTGAGACTGTCCCAGACACTTGGGTTCAGGCCTTAAGGACAGGCAATTCTGTGAACATCCTGAGGGCAGTGTAAGGACTCATCTGGGGAGTCAGGTCAACGTCCTCTGAAGTTGGCATGGAAAATCAAATTTTACATTAGAAGCACAGCCAATCCATCAGCACCAATAAGAAAAGAGTTGAAAACATTTAGTATGTGGGAAAGGTCTGTTGCCCTGCAGAGTCTTTACTTCCCTCTAAGAAAATGGAACCAAACACAATGCGAGGAAAATAAATGACTGACAGCTTAATCCACAGAGAGACTGCAAGGCAACAGCTTCTAGGATCTCGTTGGGATTCACCTCTCCCTACAATGTTCCTCTGAACATGCTCCACAGAAAATACTGAGATAAGTGGTGGTCAGTGGAAGGTGTAACTGTAGTCTTGGACTGCCTTCAGGCTTAAGAAAGGTATCTGTGGTTTTTCAGACTCTTCAACTACGAATCCTCTCCTGAAGTCACACCATTTCTTACAGAAACCACCCATCACACTCTCTGTTAGTATACTTAGTATACTACTCACTTTTTACCGCCACCACCTGCGTCTCCTAGAACGCTTCCATCAACGCTGTACAATCCTAAACATCCACTGGTCAGATTATGTGACCAATACGTCTGTTCTAGAACAAGCAGCAGTCACAAGTATTGAGGCCATGTTGCTGAGAACACAGCTGCGCTGGGCAGGACACGTCTCCAGGATGAAGGACCACCGCCTCCCTAAGATCCTGCTTTATGGTGAACTTGCCACTGGCTGCTGCAAGAGAGGAGCCCCAAAGAGGAGATACAAGGACTCCCTGAAACAACATCTCAGCCTTGGCCATATTGATCAACAGAACTGGTCTACTCTGGCCTCCAATCGGGAGCTCTGGAGACACACCATCTATAACACTGCTGCTTCCTTTGAGAAAGCACGCAGGATCACTCTTGAGGAGAAAAGACAACGCAGAAAGAATCGTGTCTTGCCGATACCATCCAAGGAGTCTTTCTGCTGTGCCTTTTGCAACTGAACTTGTCTATCTCGCATTGGCCTCTTTAGCCACCAGCGCGCTTGTAGCAAATGTGGGTAGAGTCCTTCCCAAATCTTCATTTGCAAAGCCTAGCCATAATCCACTCACTTCCAGTCCCCATGCAGGAAGCAGTGGAGACCTGAGCTCATGTCTGAAGAGGTGTATGCAGTTGCCAAGCCAGCCTGGGATCAGCCTCTGAACATCACCAGCTGCAGCCTTGCATAAATATTTCCCTTTTTACTGTATGAGAGGAATTGAATCTACCTTCTGAGACATGACAGATCTGATCTCCCATTAAAAGAATTTATGTAAAAAAAACACATCAAGCATTACTAAACATAAAGAGGCAGACATCAAAAAGCTGGAAAGACCAAAGTGCTATTCCTGAGCTGTTTATACCTTATTCACCTATTATTGGCCCTGCTTGAGACAGAACAGTAGATGAAAACAAAATTAACCCTGAATTGACTCAGTATATCTGTTCTTGTCTTCCAGGTCAAAGGAATTAAAATCTGTGTCTCCTGTATTGCAGGGGAAAGTCATATCGCTAGACTCCTGGACACATGTCTTCGTTGCCCTAATAAAGAAAATCTGTTGCATGACAGTACTGAAAAAATATTTATTCAATGTAATTAATGTCAAAGTGACTGAAGGCCTTACAAGCACATCCTCCAGAAATGTGATGGGTAGCAAAATTCTCACAACTTAATTTGGAAAAAAGAGGTTAAGGTAACATAAGCACCAAAGTGCAGCTAAAACCTTCTTTTAGAACATTTTATTCCATGTTACAAGCACTATAACCCCCCTAGGAAGAAAGCACAGCCACCATGGGCCACATCCAATTTTGTGTTAGTCATCTAAAGCAAATGAGCTACAGCAAATGTTCCTCCTGTACATTTTAAAATGTTCTCAGCTGCACTAAATGTTATAAATCCTCCCCCTTTGATCTGAGGATTCCTTCATTCTGTGACATCTCATTGTACCCACAAACTACCAACTGTCATGACACATCTCATCACATCACTGACAATGTGCGAGAAGAAAACCTTGTCATTAACAAGGCAACCTAACAAATCCCATCCTTATAAAGGTACACTTGCTTCTCCAAAGGCAGTGCTTGCTGTGACCTAACAGCTGTGCTTTCCTTTGCTTTTTATAAACACTCATGTTACTGAGCTGTTCCAATAGGTATAATCAGTTCCTTGGGCAGAATTAAGATTATATTAATACCTGTGCTGGCCCTTACCTTATCATTTCCAGGACTTTGAGTTATATTCTTTCTGACAAGGCAAAGGCACTAATCAAGTTTACTAAGGAGGGACAAATACCACCCTCTATTTTAGGCATTTTAAAAGCTCCTACAACTATGCTGTTGAAACCCACGATAGAAAAAAAGATGCCTAAAACATTAATGTGCTGTCAGCAACCTGGATTTTGTTCCCATTCCCTGTTTGACTCCCAGTGTCACATAAGGACACAGCTCCTGACTTCCAATCTCCTTTTAGCTGGCATGAGACTGGCACACCACAGAGGGAGGCAGCTGGCATCGTGCAGTGCTGCAGCACCTGGTTCTCAGCTATGGTTATACTGAGGGGTTTGGAATCCTCCTGGCTTGCTGCCTTCTCCCTGTTTTCTTTAGCATGACGTGTGGACCTAACGAAGTTTAACTTGTACCTAGCACTCAATCCACCTCTGATATCTGAGTTCCAAATCTTAGAGTCAGAAAGATATACCAGATATCATGTACTTTCCCATTTAATACATCTAAACCCTATTCTCCCCACCATGGATGGACAGATGTTAAAGCACATATAAGAAACTACAGAACTTCCTT